TACAATTTTTTTAAAATTTTGATATTGTCTTAAATGGGGCCTAAAAAATTTCTAGAATTTTTTAGAATAAACTTTAAAAAAATTTAAAACAAAATTGGAGACAAATTTCCCCCATTTCTTAAAGTGTTTCCTCCCATTTTCTTGTTATAAATACCCCTCTTAGGGTAGGAGGAAAATGCACTTCTTCTCATTCTCCCTTCACCTTTTGACTTTTTACAGTTGAGGTGTCCCACTATTTTTGATAGGTTGCATTCCCTACTTAATTTAGTGACACTCTTCATGTGTAAAAGTTAGAGTTTTTTCCTCCTTTCATTTTCTTCTCCTCGGGTCTTCTTCTTATAATAGAGACATTCCACTGTATAAGATAGACGTTATTTCCCTATAAAGATTTAGTGCCCCTTTCTTGGGTAGAAAGAGATTTTTTTCTTTTTCTTTTTTCTTATTTTTCTTCTCCTATATTCTTCTTCTTATATTGGAAGCAATCCACTGTTTAAAATAGGTATCATCCCGTATCGAGCTTCATTTCCACTCCCCTGTGAAGTTATGATAAGAGACTATATTCTTAATAAATAAACTTTAATAGAAGAAGATCAATTGCTGGTTGTTTACGAGGGTGATTTGAGAAGATATGACGATAATAGTACTTTGGAAGAGAACTAGAGGTTATTAGTAGACAGGGAGAATTTTAACGTTGTTTAAGCAAAAGTATGTCAGTGAATTGATGATCGAGTGGAAGTCTGATATCAATTGATGGTTGGGTGGAGAGCTAATGGAGATAGTTGGAGGTTGTGCTTCTAGTAGTAGTTGAGCGAGAAGTCGTGATGGACAATATGAAAGGACTGACGGTAGACATTAAATGAAGGGTCAGTGATGGTGATGGTCTAATTGCATTCTCTTAAGGCAATATGCATCCATACTGATGTATGTGGACATCAGATATCCTTGATTGATGGGGTCGAAGCAATGTGCCATGTTAGTAGTCTGCTGACGCACTAACATTATCAATTAAGTGGAGGCCTGATGATGATCAGGTTATAATCTTTATTTAAAGAAGAAGTAGCAAGTGATGCTTTAATGTGTAGTAAATAAGATGTTAATAGAATCTATTAAGGATATTTGACCTTTTTGAAGTTGCTTGTCGCTTGATAACATTAACTTATACAAAATTATGTTGGTGTAATTTTAATTTTAGTTTCTTATGAAATTAAAAGTACACTCAAATCTAATATAGAATTTTGTCATGTAACTTCAATGATATTATATATACATTTGAGATTATTGAATGATTTTAATGCTTATTTTTTTCCCTGGAGAAAATTAAGTTGTTTATGCATCTATGAGACATGATTTGATATATTGCTCAATATGTCTTTTTGAGGCTTTTTAGCATGCTAATATCTTCATATGAGTGATGACTTTATCAATCACTTGCTTTCATAGAATCTATATATAGATAATGATGTTCATGAGAAAATACACCAAGGATGTATGACCTATCCTAGGTTGTATATCAGAGTACTAATTAATGATGTTAACCTCAGTGGAAGGGGTCGAGAGAATACACCAATGATATATGACATATCTAAGATTATATGTCAAAGTAATGCTCGATGACATTAGCCTATATAGAAGAGATCGAGAGAATCCACCAATAATGTATGATTTATCTGAGGTTGTATGCTAGGGCATTGCTTGATGATGTTAGCATATATAAAAAAAGTTGAGAAAAGAAACTAAAGATATATGATATATTCGAGGTTATATGTTAGAGAATTACTTGATGATATTAACTTATATGAACGAGATTGAGAGAATCCACCAAGGATGTATGATCTATCCAAGGTGGTATATCAGAGCACTGCTCGATGACAATAAACTATATGAAAGATGTCAAGAGAATCTACAAAGGATGTATGACCTATCCAAAGTTATATGGCAGAGCACTTCTCGATGATGTTAACATATATAGATGAGATTGACAGAGTTTAATAAAGATGTATGAATTATTTGAGTTTGTATGTGAGAGTACTACTAGATGATGTTAACCTATATGAAAGAGGTGAGAGAATCCGCCAAGGTTGTATGACCTATCCAAAGTTGCATGTCAAAGCACTGTTCGATGATGTTAACCTATATAGAATAGGTCCAGAGAATCCACCAATGATGTATTGACCTATATTCATTTTTATGTCAGAGCACTGCTCGATGACATTAACCTATATAGAAGAGATTGAGATAATCCACAAAGGATGTATGACTTATTCGAGGTTATATATCAGAGTGTCACTTGATAATGTTAACCTATATAGAAGATAAAAAATCGAATTCCCTTGGGATTGATTTTTCCTTGATTGGGAGGGGGCGAACACTATGTGTATCTTGAATCAAAGGTGAAGAATGGTATATCCTTAGACCATTAGAGCATTTTTGAGGTCGAGATTAAGATCTTGCCTAAGGATTAGAAGTCCAACTAGGGACTATATAAAGCTTAAAATTTATTAGAAGTAACGTTACAATTGTTAGAAGCTTTATGATCCCAAGATATCATCTTAGATATTGCAAGAGTTGGAGGAATCTTTTTGACCACAGCGATAATTAATGTTGCCCCCTAGTCCACATTTAATTCTCATGAAATTGATATAACAATAGCAATAGCTAATGCCAGGACGTTGACACGAACAATCTTTTGAGGTTGGAGCAAAAATGCCCCCATTCGAGAATAAGGTTCCCACAGATGGCGCTGAATTATTGTGTCTTGGAGTATTCACGGTAGTAGAAAAATATAAGTTTGATGTCTAAGCTTCGTACAAAGATCCAGCATGCAATCAAATAAAAAGAGAGGGTGCATTATTTATAAGATTCATTAAGATTTTTATGTGGAAAACCCCTGAGAAGGGGGAAAAATCATGGGGCCTAGCCCAGTTTGAATGAATCCATTAGTATTTGCAATCACTACAGGAAAATCACTTATTACCGGCGGAATTTTCCGGCGGCTTTCCTGCGGTCAGTTTTCCGGCGGCGTTCCGGCGGATTTCCGGCGGTTCTTGATGGCTTATTTCCTACAAAATTTTTCGGCGGCTTTCCGACGGCTAATTTCCCCGCAAAATTTTGCGACGGCTAATTTCCCGCAAAATTATCCCGCGTAATTTTCCGGCGGCTTTTTCATTTTTCCGGCGGCTTTTAAAATTTAATGAAAATGAATAAAATTTTTACTATTTAAATGATTTAACAAAAAATTATTAAAATTTATATTAATAATTTAATTAATTTTCATTTTAAAAATTAATTAGTTAGTTAATTTTTATTTTATATTAAATATTATTTTTTATTTTAAATTAAATATTTTCATTTTTTAAATCATTACGGTTTAGAACCGCCGGAAAGCCGCCGGCATAAATTGCCGCCGGTAAAAACCGCTGGAATTTATTTTCCTACGCCGTTTTTACCGGCGGTCACTTAATCGCCGGAAAAATTCAAAACCGTCGGAAAAGGTTCAATTACCGCCGGAAAAGGCCGCCGGAAATGGGTGATTTTCCTGTAGTGAATTGATTACAATTGAGGCCCTTCATTAAAGGGAAGGCCTAAGCTTGATATAATAAATATATATCATACAAAGTGTGTTATAAGGTGGAAATATGAAGAATCACTGTTAATGTTTTCGTTTGGTCGGAAAGACCGTAGTCGGCAGGCGTCCGGTGGCTGGTGGAAGTTCAACATATGGTAGATGTCGGGTGAAAGTTAAACGACGGATGGAAGTCCGACATCGGGTAGGATTCCAGTGACAGGCAGAAGTCCGGCATCAGGTAGATGTCCGATGACGAGAGGAAGTCCGATGTCGGGTATAAATCCAATGACGACCGGGAATCTAGGGTCGGTCGGTGGCCGGGAGGTGGTCGAGGAGGAAATTAGAGGCAAGAGAACTCTTCCTTCTCCTCCTCGTCCTTCTCTTCTTCCTTAGGCCCCTTCTTACTCCCCCTTTACATGAGGAATGAGAGATCTATTTATAGTATTTGAGTGTGACATGGATAGTAAATAGGAGGAAGATCAAGAGTAATTTGGGAGTGGTTTGAATGGACGACCGATGTTGAATCTCTTGTTCATGGACCGTTCGTTGGACATTTGAATGTCTTAATGATATCAGAACTCAATGATCTTGAGCTCATTGGATTCGTCCCGTCGAGCAGCTCAATTCAATTATAAGCATGCCTTGTTTTGAAACGGTTTGGTAATCTAAATTATGGTCGGAACCTTCCAAATGCGCTTTGGGTCTTTGATTTGGACCCATTTGAGCTCGGATTGGGTCGAATTTGGTGTCATTGGGGTTGTATTTCCAATATGTTCAGTTCGATTGTAAATTTGCTGAAATTGGAGTTCAGATGGTTTCTGATTTAATTTTTGAAGTTTTCAATTTTATTTTGCTTCGAGATTCGTGCCGGATCAACATAATTTTTTGATGATATATCAAGAATGATTATCTTTTGCTTGTGTTTGCCTGTCTTGATTTCTTATAAAAGAATTGTAATAGAAGTAAATTTGAAAATAATATTCACTGTCGGACTTCTATAAGTAAGAAGATTATGAAGACTGCTCGTGTAAAAATACTTAGATGGAAATGCTGGCAGAACTTTCATTCATTCTTCCTCTGCCTGGGTTGTTCTTCGTGGCAGGGCTGTTTCTTGTGGATGGAATTTGGGTTCTTTTTAATGCCATTTGAGTCCAGTTTAATTTATTTTACTGTTCTCTTTTCTGTTCTTTCCCTTCCATTTACAGTTTTTTCTTTTTTTGCTATGCCTTCCTGCATAGTTTTTCTACATCTCAATTGGCTGGTTTTCTGAATTGAGCCCCTAAATTTTCCTCCAAAAATAAAATAAAATTAAATACTTATAAGCAGAGTTTCATTATTTGAAAAAGCCAGCATCTCTCAACCACTTGCGAAAGGGATCACCACCAGCGACGCTTTTGGGAGAACCACATAAATTAATTTAAAAAGGCAGCGTACCCACTGCCATAAACCTACACTCCAACCCACTTTCCTTCCATCCACACAATAACTGCTCTCTCTCCCCTCCCATTCCCCGATGCCCTGCCTCACCAAACGCCCCTGTCTAACCTGCCTAGCCGTCGACGCAGCTGAAGCCGGAAAATCTGACGAAGAAGAAGAAATCTGCCCTCTACTTCCTGGCCTTCCCGACGACCTAGCACTGCTCTGCCTCTCACTCGTCCTCCCTTCCCTTCTCTACTCCGTTTGCCGATCATGGCGACGTCTCATCTATTCCCAATCCTTCCCCCCATTCCTCTCCCTCTACGCCATCCTGTCCAAAAAAAACACCGGTCCCACTTCATCTTTCTCTTACCGCCACGACGATGACGATGATGATCCAATCGGTCTTTACTGTTTTGACCCCATCTCAGCCTCCTGGTCCCAACTCCCGTCCCCGCCCCCAAATCCACCTCTCCATAGTCTCCTGATCAACCATCCTTCTTTCTTATCCCGATCCCTCCCGATCCAATCGGTCGCCACCGGCACCCACCTCGTCCTCCTCGCCGGATCCACCGTACATCTCTCTCCTGCCCTACCCCGCCCGCTAGCTTTCAACCCTACCTCTCGACGCTGGTTAGTTGGCCCCCTTCTCTGCCACCCACGCCGCTGGTGCGCCGCCGGATCTGCGGCCGGCGCCGTTTACATCGCAAGTGGTGTCGGCTCCTCCTACCGCCCTGATGTCGCTCGATCTGCGGAGAGATGGGAACCCTCCTGCTGCTCGGCATCCAGCCGCTGGGAATCCATTTCGCCGCTCCGTGATGGACGATTCAGCCGTGAGGCCATCAATGCTGTAGCCGCAGGAAGAAAACTGTGCATGGTGAATGTGCAGGGAAGAGCGGTGAAGGAAGGGGTGGTGTATGATATTGAAAAGGACGTCTGGGAGGATATGCCACAGGGAATGCTTACCGGATGGAACGGTCCTGTGGCAGCGCCTCCGCCGGCGGAGCAAGGGAATATGTATGTGGTGGACGAGGTGAGCGGGGAGGTGAGGGTGTATAAGTGGGAAGAGGACAGGTGGCAGGTTGTAGCGGAAGCGACGGAGGCTCGGCAAGGCGCAATAGTCGCGGCGGTGGGAGGAGGGAGGATGTGCGTGGCTGTAGCCGGCGGTGGCGCGGTGGAGGTGGTCGATGTGACGCGACCGGGAAAGACGTGGTCAGTGGAGGTACCGAAGGGGAGAAGAGTCATCGCCCTCCATGTGCTTCCACGTATGAAAGACGAGAAATTATGACCGTCAGATTTCGAATAGGCGGCTTCCCGCAGGTTTCCCAAATTTTTTGTTATTTTTTATTATTGTTATGCCAAAAGGATACTGCGGGGACAGTTAAGAGCATTGAATGCAGAACACATTACACATTGGGAAGGCAGAGAAGGAAAAGGACAAAAATGATCTTTTTACGGTTTGTTATTGATTTATTCAATTTTTATTAATTTTTATTGATACATTACTTGATTGGCTGAAATTGATCTTCGATGTAAAAGTTTTTCCTTCAAAGTTTAATCAAAGAGTAACGCTAACTTAGTAGATTCTGATTGATTTAGTCACGTAAAAAATTGCTGTGTATTTGCATTGGTTAGCATAGGAAATACGTATATTATTGATTCGTGCTGAAATATTCATGGAAATAGAGAGAGAATTTAACATTTTTGAATGAAGATCCAATGCACACGTGTAAAAGGAGAGAGAGACATACAAGAATTATAAGAGACATCAGAATTCAAAATGGCATAAATACTGAAAAGGGGATAAAACATGTGATCTGGCCTTACTAAAATGATTCTACTTGACATGTCATAAAAAATCACCTCTATTATGCACATATCTTAAGGGATATTTAAATTGAAAACTTTTAAAATTAAAATTGGGATCATTCGAACACTGATCTCAACAAACTAATGGTCAAACTGAACATTTTGGTAAGACGAACCCAACGACACAAAAACTGGTCCAATCCGAGTCCAAATGGGCTCGAATCAAGGGCTTAAAACATATTTTAAAGTTTTAAAGTATTAATTGGATGACTTAATAATTTCCAAATCATACATCCTTATGGTCAAATTGAGCGGCTCGAGAAGATGAATCCAGTGACCCTACGATCACTAAATTTTGACATCATTAAGGCATATAAATGCTTGACGAACAGTCTATGATCAAGGGAATCATTATGGATTGTCTTTTGAAGCACTCTAAATTTGCTCTAGATCGTCTTCATATTTATAGAGCATGCCACTCCAAGCATCTATAAATAGACCATCATTCTTCACATAGGAGGAGGGGAAGGGGAGAAGAAAGATTAGAGGAAGAGCTCTCTTGCATTTTCAAGTCATCACTACTACCAATAACCATCAACTATTAACTCTGATAATCACCATCGCACCAAGGATCAACATAAAAAATCACTACCATCTCTAGAATATTGACAAGATTTAAGTACCATTCTATTGGGTATAATAGTCTGTGAACATTTACTTTCTATAATCCCTATTGAAAAAATGGAGCCTTATTGTCTAGTATTAATTATTTCTCTATGGACACTTGATTTCTATACTCTCCCTTTTCTTCTACAGTGAAAAAAAGAGAATTTTTGTATAACTTATTACATAGTAAATTTTACAACTAGACTAGGCCCCATGATTTTTTTCCCTTTCTAGGTTTTACCACTTAAAAAATCCTTCTGGTTCTATTACTTTTATTTGTAAGTGCTGAATTTTTATAATGCTAAGACATAAAATACATATTCTACGAACTCAAATTTTCAAGTTCGTAATAGTTTGGCGCTGTTTATGAGAAACATTCCCAACATTATTCTTCAATGGCTGATCAGAGTGATATAAATAACATATTTTCTCATTCTCATATTCACCGAACTAGGAATCTATATGAAAATCATAAGCGTCATAATCATGTGAGGGGGAGCCTCAATCTTTAACCTTAGAAACTCGAATCCAAATGATTGAATATTATAAAACATTAATTTTACACTTATTGGATGAAGATGGTCAATAGAGAGTCTCATAACAAAATGATGGAGCTCCCTCCCCACAATATTATCAATACCATATAGATAAACAACTTGAAGATACTCTTGAAGGAAATTCTCACCATCATGCTAATGCGTCAACCCCTTCCCAGTCTAATCTAGAAGTGTGTCATGTTGCAAGTTTAACCTATCCTCCTCACAGAGCTCACAAAATGGAAAACACTCTACTTATTTTATTAGATTTATTGAAACTTGTTCAATATGAATTAGGTTCTTAGACCTAAGCTTATATCCCAGCGTCTAACCAAGAAGAGGGGTGAATTGGTAATTTAAAAATTTTCCCTCTTAAACCGATGAAAAATTTAATGATTTTTTATAAAAAGATTTTTCAACCACAGATCAACAGGAAAAGTAAAGTAAAAAAGAAAAGCAACGAAAAATAAAAAGACACAAGATTTATAGTGGTTCGGTCAAACACGACCTACATCCACTCCCCAGAGCCACCCTTTGAGTATTGCACTAATACCAATAGTGTCTCTCCTTTTTCCCCCACAGCAAGGCCGAAAAGCCTTCACAAAACTCTCTTCCACCACTACGCGGTGCGATAGAGAACCATCGTCCTTTTACACCCTCCAAGTGTAGGCAGAGTACCTCGCGCTGTTCACACTCTTCAAGTATAGGCAGAGAATCTTCCCGCTGTTCACACTTTTCAAGTGTAGGGAGAGAACCTTTTATCCTTTCACAGTCTCCAACTGTAGGCTGATAACCTTCCTGCTTTTCACACTCTCCAATTATAGGTAGAGAACCTTTCATCCTTTCACACTTTACCAAGTGTCGGTAGAAAATTGGATCTCCTTGAAAGATTTTTTTCAAAATAAATCTAGAAGGATAAGAAAAAAGAGTGAAATAATCACAATTCACAAAGTTGAGATCCTTACCTTTAAGTACCAAGTGAATCCTTTACGCTTCAATGGTAAGAACTCTCCTTCAAACACTCTCTCTCTCACTTTCTCCTTCACACTTCTTTCAGTAAGCACGAAGACCAAAGACCAAAGAGAATTCAAGACAGTTTTAAGTGGACCTTATATAGAAAAGATACGAAAAATCGTCCAAAAACTATTAATTTCAATTCTGTACGCACTCGATCGTCCCGTACGATCATGATTTCGTCCTGTACGAATAGTGTAAAAACTATTACGTACGAACCCAATATGTATTGGTACGGAATAACTTCGTTCCCGATCATCGCCCCGTACGAACTAAGTTCATTTGGTACGAACAGTTATATCAAGGGTTTGTTTGGACGAAACTGCAAGACGATCCAAATTTTCAAGGAACAGAGGACTTCATCCTGGGATGAATATAGGAGTTTGTCTGGATGATTAGTTCAAGTCATGTGTCCAGAGGACATTGTTCTAGGATGAATAGGGTGAATCGTCTAGACGATCTGTTCAATTCAAGGATCCAGAGGACATCATCCTGGGATGAATGGGGTGAATCGTCTGGACGATCAGTACAAAGTGAGAAATCAGAGGACATCATCTTGAGACGAATGATACACTTCGTCTGGATGAACATTTCAAAGTGAAAATCCATAGGACATCGTCTTAGGATGAATGGTACACTTCGTCTGGATGAAAAATTAAAAGTGAAAATTCAGAGGACATCGTCAAGGGACTAATAGGGAAATTCGTCTGGATGATTAGGACTTAAAAAATTTTTCTCACTTCCTGTTCATTCTATTACTCTCCGAGGGGTATAACTGACCTGATCATCCCATACGAACATGGTTCATCCCGTATGATCAGTATAAGAAATTTTGATTTTTTTAAAGATCTCCCCAAGTGTGTGTGTGTGCTAAGTTACTCAATTACAATTACACTCTCTCAAACTCAATAAATTGAAAAATATAGACTTCAATTTACAAACTATCTTATGCTGAATTTGATTTGAAGTCTTCATTAGTCTAGAGTTCGATTATCCTAAAATGTTAGTTCACACAAGAGCAAAAAATATAATTCTTTCAAAAAAGTGTTAGGAGAAAATAGTAATTAGAACAATAATATTTAGAATCATCAAAATTATACAAGTTGCAAGAAATGTAAAACATACAAAAGCTAAGTAGCAACTCTTTTAACAATCTCCCCCTTTTTGACGATGGCAAAATAATTATTGTTTGTATAATTTTCAAATTCAAAGTATCTCATAAACTCTCTTTGAATTGATAAATATGTAAGAATAAGGAGGCATTTGCACAACATTCTCTCTCTCTTTTAAAATAAAACATGAACAGAACATATACGATATAACAGATACGATACGAATAATATTTCTTCCCCTTTTTGACAACAACAAAAAGAGAAGAAGAAAAAGAACTAAAATATAAATGTAAGAAGTCATATGATAAACCTTTGATAATTGATCCTTGAAAGAGATTGTGATATATTTGCAAATACAATTGACTATCATTAGAGAAATAGAAGAATTCATATGATTTAAGAAGAGTCATAACATAGATAAAGAAAAAAAATATCAAAATACATGAATCAATTTAGACATTGAGATAAATAAAATTATTGTAAAGTAGATGAATGTAAAATTAAATTTGTATATTTCAAATTTACTAAATAAAATTGTACAGAAGATCATTTTGAATTAAGAGATTGAAAGATCGAGGAAAGAATTAACTATCACATGTGGCACTTTGCACATCTTCTTTTCAATAGTTATGGTACATTTTTGTGCATCTTTTAACTTATGGGCTTATTTTATGCATCTTTTTTAAATTACGAACCATTGCATATTCTTTTTTATTTTTATAGATTTGTATATTTTTGAAGAGTAATCTTGATCTTTGCAAAATCAATAATAAAAAATTTCAAATTTCTCTAAGTACAGTAATATTTATTGATAAGTAAAATACAAAAATAAGAAAACATTATAATTGCAATAAAAGTATAAAAATTATATTAGTCTAACAAAAGACATGAGTTTGACAATCTTAACTAGATCAAGTTATAATCACAATTTAAATTTTTGAAAAATTAAATTTTCTAATGATATCAATTCTATGTTGCAATTCAAGATATAGCATTTTCAAGATAAAAAATTTGAAGAATATTCATATAAGCTAACACATATTTCTGAAATAAAATAAAAAACAGTAAAACAAGATAAGATAACTTTTATTGATATCATTTATAGAAGATAATACATTTTGCATGAATGATATCAATACATTGACTATTGAAAAACATATAAAATATGAGATTTTTCTAAAACATAACATAAAAACATAAAAATCATCACTGGTCACGTCACAACACATCTAATGCAGTAGAGAAAAAAACACATAAAATAAATACATTCATCACTCAAACAGACCCTGATCTGGAGGAGGTGGCTAATTGTAGAAATTAAAAAAAATTGCTCATCATAGTCATATTTGAGTTTATACCATCTATTTGCTCTCGCGTCCAACTTATATCCTGATGGTACTGAGCATCCTGCATTTGTAGATGAGTTTTAATTTGATCAAAACATTGATCAAAATGAGTCTCTAGACGATCAAATCTGTGAACCAAATGTTGATAATTTGGTTCACCAGCAGGTGCAAGTGGAGGTGAGT